AGCTTATGTACGAAGCGAATATTAAACTGTTTCTGCTTTCACACCACTGCCATATCTCTTTTGTTAATGAATTTAGTTCTGGATGTTGGATGCTACCCATTCGATTAATATACGATATTGCCGTGGTGTTATCACATCTTAAAAGAATATTACAGTTAGAAATATTATTCGCGAAACATTTTAGACCATAGAAGATGGCCCGGAGTTCTAACAGATTAATGTGCGACATCCTTTCCAAATGGCCCCAAAAACCAAAAGTCTTTTCCAAGCCACAGCAAGCGCCCCAGCCTGTCAGGGAGGCATCGGTAAACAATTCCGTTTCAAAATTATCTTTAATTATAATATTTGAGGAGTTTAGGATCTTTTCCTCCCACCAAATTAGGTCACTTTGTAAATGAGATGGGATGGGCATAATGGCATCAAAATTCATGTTCTTCCTGCGAAGGGCCAGGTATTTTTCCCGCTCTAAAGATTTTAAGTACAGCCAACCGTACTTGACTGCGGGACAGGCCGAAACGAGGATGCCTATAAATTTTGCTAGATCACGAATTTTACAGCTAGACTTATTTTTAAAACGTATAGCCAATTTTCTAATGTTTTCTTTCTTTTCTACTGGTAGTACGATTTCCATTCCTACCGAGTCAAAAATAAAGCCCAAAAAATGCTGGGCTGTGTTAGGTGTTAGACAACTTTTCTCTTTGTTCACTGTAAAGCCAAGTGATTCTAAAAGCTGTACGAGACATTTTGTGTTTTCTAGGCAGTCATAAAAAGATTCTCCAAAAACGAGAAAATCGTCTAGATAATTAACGCATAAAATGCCCTTTTCTCTTAAAAGAGTTACAATTGGTTTCATTAATTTCGTGAAACAAAATGGAGCGGACGAAAGTCCGAAAGGTAAACAGGTGAACTGGTAAAGTTGTCTGTTAAACTTAAATCTCAAAAACCTTCGATAATTTGGATGGATGGCCACTGAGAAGTAGGCGTCTTTTAAGTCCACAGATGATAAAAAGCAACCTCTACTAAGTAACCTCATCACTGTCCTGTAGTCCTCCATCTTAAAATGAGGAGCAATGACATATTTATTAAGATTTTTGAGGTTGAGAATAAATCGCTTTTTACCGTTAGATTTGTCGGTTAGAAATATTGGAGACACAAACTGATTAGCGCATGGTCTACATTTCTCAATTGCCTTCATACTTAAAAGATCAGCGATTGCTTGATTTAATAAGGGTATGTCTTTAACTGAAGAGTTAGATATGGATTTGATGCTTGTCGGAGGAGGTTTCTTGCAAAATGGGATCCTGTACCCAGAAATCCAAGACAGAATTGTTGGACTCTGGGTCACAGCTTTCCAAGAATTTGTAAAATTTTGGAGATTCCCAGCAAAAACTTTTTTGTTACTTACCGCTAGCGTCGTCGGTGAACTGTGGGTCTTTGTGAGTGTGAGGGTCGCCCCCTTAGTGACTTCATCTCCCTCCTTTGATGAGCCGGGCGTCCTCTGTTTAACTGATGGCCACTTGTTATGGTATGAGGTTTACCTGTCCCCCCTCCCCTCCTTCTCAGTAACTCGCCTGAGTAGCTGGGTTGGGAGCGAGAATGGTTCGTCTGTTGGATTGGTCGTATATCTCTTCCCACTTTTTCCAGGGTTTTTAACGTTTGGATTTTTTCGCTCAACTCTGAGCCGAACAAAAACTCTCCGGGTGGAACATTTTCCAGCAAGTTTTTAAGTTGTTTGTTTATCAGGGGAAGGATAAACTGACGACGTTTATTCGACATTTCATTTATTATTTTGCATAACATGCGTCCAGAGTCTGCAGTGCTTGCCAAAATTTTTTCCCTTACCTGTTTCGGGATGCTCGTGTCCTCTTCTAAAATAACGTTTATTGAGTGTCCCAGGGAAGCTAAAACTTTACCGAGCTGTATTTGGTAATTTAAATGCGTCTCATCCCTGGCTGAATGAAGAGTGTTCATGCTAGCACCGATTTCAGGGTTAATTTTAGGTGGAGATAACAGTTTACAATTCTCCGGTAACTCATATTTTCCGAAGAGTTGATCGTTTTCCTCCTTAGGGAGACCGTAAGCTAAGGTATGTGACCATATCGGCTCTACGGCAACATGGAGATTAAACTTGCATTTTTTCTGTTTATTGGGATCGGGTCCCAAAATATGCCTTATCTCTTCGGAAATTTCCTCGTCCTCATGGAGAATTAAAATTGGCGAGTCATCCGCCTTAATATTTTCAAGCCCCCCTCTTCCTGAACCGGTCCTGCCCTGGTCATTGACGCCGTATCACGCAGATAACGGCCCGACTCCTCATCATTTCGATGACGGCTGTCTGTACTTGTGCGTCTGTAACGACTGTGTAAAGAAACAGGCAAGCTGGGGCTGCGACTGCGACTTCTGGTTCTATTTTCAAATGATAACAGTGAAGTCGCCTTACTTGAAGGGCGACCTTCACTATAAATAAGATCGGGCACGCGTAACAATCGTGAATCCGCTTTACGCGAAAGTCGGCCTTCACGTTCTCGACTCCTAGAGACGTGGTATGCGGGTGTTTCACTACCTGAGCGCGTCTCCCACGGAGAACGGTCTCTGTCTCTTTCAAGATTTCTCAATTTCCGTCGCAACTCCCTATTCTCCTTGCTTAAAGATCTATCACGAGATCTACTTCTCTTTCTTTTCGATTTGCCCATCTTAGTACCTACAAATTTAGTTAATATACTCACGTTTATTTTTGTGTTTCTGTACCTAAGCGGCGAAAAACTCGGAGCTCGACGTCTACACGGTTGAGTGCACCAAGAACGAATGAACAATATTGTACCGTTAGCGGAGGGGACAGCGGGAGTCGCCGATTGAGGCGATTTCTTTTTCAGCTTACTTTAAACAAGGTGCACGTTGAGTAGCCAGGACCGGACTACGTGTGTAAAATCAAGATAATATATTCGGACTGGACGCGAATATAATTGCCCTAAGAATGCCCATAAATATTATGTTGGGTGTGTCTCAGAAATTGTTGATGAAGCCAAAAACGTTTATTATGTTAATTTTTTAAGGAAACAACAATCAGAGAAAACTGGGGTCCACTTTGTGTACCCCAATACCAAAGATCAGAGCTTAGTAGAGGGCCCCCAAATTTTTCAAAGATGTCAAATTCTTAAGACGCGAGAGATTTCAATTTCCCAGTTTGGGGAAATACGATGTTAGAATCGAATGAACAAAAAATGTTGTTACCTAGGTACCTACTCAAATATTTTTGACTTTCGACCTTAACAAATGCCAAATATTTTTGATTTTTAGACTTTTTAGAAATAGATTTTATTTTTTAAATGTGTTATGGTCTTTTATAATATTGAGTTGTATTTTCAAATTATGTTTTTGTATTTTTGAGAATAAAAATAAGAGTTTTCGTTATGTAAATTGCATTTTTTTGGATTTTTGTGTTAAAAAACATATTTATAATTTTTTCCTGTCCGAATTCGCCCCATATAGTGTGAAGAATAATTTACAGGCAAATTAAATGGGTGTTCATCTTCACCCGACACATAGGGGCGAAGGCGGACAACATTAGACCAAAAAAAATAGGGGTTGGGGTAACATTTTTCTTCAAAAGCTATATGAAATCACATTCTACAAATATGGAGGTGTATACATTAATTTTTTTGACAATTTTTGCCCTAATGGCGTGGGACTAATCTATAAAAAAAATCCAAAAACTGTCCGCCTTCACCCCAGATGACGGTACGGGAGTGTAGCTTAGTAATATTCAAATACGAGTTTTATCCGTAGCGTCTTAACTATTCAGCGCGCGCATTTTTACGTGTTGGTTGCTCTCTATTTAATTGCCAAACTCCTAAAATGATTGTAAAGGTGGCCGCATCTTGTAGTGTTTGTTATGAGTGGTTTCTTGCTTAGGGCCGAGATATCCAACCCCTTATAAACTACCTATTAACTATTAGGAGAATAGTGTATTTATTAGCTAATAAATAATAACATGGAGTTCCATTGTTATTTATCTGCCTAACAAATATTAGGTACCTAATTTCTCATCTTACCCAAAATGGAAAAGTTGGCAATTCTGATTTTAAGATGTTATCATTAAAAAAATATGGTCATATAGAAATGCATGCATGAGTTGGAGTGAAATAGTGGTTTATTGACATTTGATGGACAACTTAACCTATATGCAATTCAAATTATGGTGAATGAGAAGCTTTGATTAATTTAATAAATTACGATGTAAGTAATTGTGACTGTTATGCAATATAATGGCATAGATATGGTAGAAACGTTACCTTTTACAGCAATAAGTAATTTGGAAAACATACCTTTCGACATACCACTGTCAGAAACTGATATTGCCGCCCCTGTTGCACGTGAGCTGGAAACGCCTATTATACCCAGCACGTCAAAGAAGTGGACTTCTGGGAAGAAGAAACGTCTACAGCCACAAGAGAGGCAGTATTTCAATAAAAAATACGAGCAAATTACCAACAATAGAACAACACTAATTACATTGCAAACCGAAAATGCAGAATTGGAAAAGCAGTTATTATTAAGTAAAATCAAATTTGCGGAAGAAGAGCATATGCTAAAAATGAAGCTGTTAAAATTAAACATTCGTAAGGCAGAAATAAATTTATTGCAAGCGGAAAAGGGCACATTAGAATAACAACACACAAAAATCACAAGTGATCATTAAGAACAAGTATTCCATTCAGTACCTTCTAATATGTATAAAAATGTCTGATAATGTTACAATAAACCTTGAAAATAATCTATATACGGTTGACGAGCATTATTTTCTACGTTTACTGGTGCAATAACATTATTGTCCTGGTCAATTTCTATGTCATCTAATTCCATAGCTTCATTTTGGTCTCTAGCAATGTTGTGAATTATTGCCGTAGCTACAATAATGTCTTGACACATAGGTAATTTGTTCCGCAGTCCCAGTGACAAAATAGGAAATTTCCGTTTCCATATACCAAATGTTCTTTCAATTATTGTCCTTGTTCTGATTTGGCATTCATTAAAATAGTGCTCTGCGGGATTTGTACAGCTTGGACGTTGATAGAAAAAAAACCTTTTCTGTTTCTGAAATTCTCAGCATGTTCACCACCTAGGTACAAAATATAGCTAACACTTCACTATCATATAAGGAACTAACCTGGATTTTGGATTCTTATGTGTGTGCAATCAATGGCACCAATAACTCTAGGAAACCTTGCGATAGCATAGAAACCTTGCTTGATTATTGCCATTTCCTCAACGGTATCTGGCATTTTAGTGTACACTGGGCTTAATTCCGCAATAGCCCTTGACACTCTTCTTATAATTTGTCCAGAAGTGGTTCGATGTAAACCTCCAAAATCTCCAGCTACTATTTGAAAACTACCACAAGCATAAAACCTAAGAGCAACTAGTAACTGTTGTAAAGGTGATACAGCATGATTTCTAAAACGATAAAAGATGTGGTATACAAACTAATTACCATTACACGATTTACCTATCTGTGCGATGTCTTATATTGTCTTCAATGAGACCATTAAGGTGAAGTGCAGTATTTTTTGTCACTCTAAAGCGATTGAAAAATTGTTCCTCATTCCATCCATGGAAATTATCTTGTCTCTCCCTAACCATATATCTCTGGCGATTTAATCCTAAATCTTCAATTTCCTGCATCTCTATTTCATCATCCAGTTCATGAAAATACATTTTTTTTAAGATCCTGCAATTGCTTTTGAGGTTAGGTATATAAGTAAATTAGAAGCGTATGTCAATGGAAAATAATTTTTTTACTTTTGATTTTACTTACCTTTCACGTATATTTTACGAAGATTAATATCACAAGAAACTTTTGTAATTGATGGGTTTAAACTACCTTATCAGGAGCTCATACTAGCTAATAAGATATTTAGCTAATAAGGCTGGTTACTAGGTACCTATTAATTGTTAGGAGGTGAAAATCCGTAAAAAACGTTTATTAGCAAAATAAATTTATTAAGTAGTTTATTAGAAGGTGGATATCTCGGCCCTTAGTATTTAGATTAATTATTGAAGAGGTATTTTAAAATTAAAAGTTGCCCGCGATTGATTCTGTGCATTTAATATGAATCCGTCTAGAAGAGCCAAAAGAATGGTCGGATTTAGGCAGGCTATCTAAAACATTAAAAATAAATGAAAATGTCCAACAAAGTGGACACTTTGTTAATATTTCAAAAAGCTGTATGATACGGGACAATGCAATGCAGGATGTGAATATATCTAAAGGCAAGTTCAAATATAATATTAGGTTCATTTATACATATACAGGGTGTATGCTCCAGTATTAATAAATAGTAAAAATATAAATGTTTATTTTGTAGAATCATATACACAAGTTGACGATTTATTTGCGGCAGTCCGGAATCCAGAAACAGAAAAACATACCCATAATATGGAAGATTTTCGTGAAACCGAAAATCAAAACCTCCCGTTAGATAATACATTAATTTGTTGGTGAAGTTAATAATCAAGGCCAATTTGTTAAGGTTTTAGAAAGTTGCATTATAAGGGATGGTAGAGTAGTGTCTAATGGTAAGTACGAATAGTAAATGGAATTATTTGAAAATACTAATTTCTGGTATTTTTATTTTATAAATACAATGTTAACGAAAGCCACAAAATGTAAATAGTCAAACAAACCAAAACGTCCCTATATTTTACGAAGATAACACATTCGTTGGCGAAGTTGATAGTAATGTGGGCGGACCATTGATTAATGTTATAGACAATATAGTATAAGGAGTGACGACATGCAGATAATGGTGGTGTCTAATGGTAAGTACGCGTATGACAATTATTTATAAATTATATATACCTTCGGATACCTTTAATCTTAAAAGTTTTAAACAGCTAAATGATGTAGGTAGTTAGGTATTTTAATGTTTGATGTTTATATTTTGTAGACTCGGAGATACAAACTGGTGATTTATTTGAGGAAAGCCAGAACACGGGACCAGAAAGTCACGATAATGGTACTGAAGAAGTTTTCCTTGAAGGCTTAAATCAAGAATCTTATGATTTAGGTAAGATAATCATTTTTTCTAATGTGGAATAACATCCTGTGAGTACCTAACCTTTTTTTTTTGTATAGAGGTTTGGGAAATCCTTTATGGACTACCCCCGCTTTGCGGTCTTAGCGGGGGGGCGTGTGGGACTCCCTTCCATCTAGGTAAGGTTTACCCACTAAAACCCATTTCCTCTGCCTGGTATGACATGGTCGGGCATCACCATTGGCATTCTTCGCGGCCATGTCCGGCCGCCGCGGTAGATGTTACTACCGCCTCCCTCGCTCTCGATCCCTGGTCTCCCTTTCTCGGGTACTCCCCACAATCCACACACCTGCCGTCGTTGCGCTTTTTAATCCTTTCCAAGTAACGCCCATTTTCCCCGTGACCGGTCAAAAACTGTGTTACGTAGTAGTCCACCTCTCCGTACCCCCTCTCGCACCACTCACGCACTTCCGGGATTAGTGTCTTCGTCCACGACTCTCTCCTTGCCCACCTCGCCTGCCACTCCGCGTACACCTTATCTCTGTCCCACCTCTTCGCCCTCGCCTCCACCGCGACCTCCGCCGGACAGATCCCCGCAACCACCATGACGTCGTCGGCCTGCACCGTCCTATAGGCGCTACAGATCCGGACTGCCAGCAGCCTGATCATCCGATTCATACTGGCCATCGCACTACCCCACTTCATTGCCGCCTTCCATACCTCAGCCGCGTACAGCAACCCCGACATGACCGCCGACGCCATAACCTTGCGTTTGCTTGCCCGTGCCCCTCCTGTGTTGGGCAGTACTCCACTTAGGGCCCTGTATGTTGTAGCGTTCTAAATTTTCAGAAACTGTAGATTTATGTTTATGAACAATTCTTTTTTAAATGTTCCCGTACGACAGTACTAGGTGATTATTAGTCCTCACAGGTTACTTCTGGAGTGATGACATAAAACTGTTGATTCACATTATTGTGATAATAGATCCCTCTTACCGTTGCTTTGTTCACAACGTAACACTTCTAAATTAAGCGATGACACTTCATCTGATTCGGAAGAATGTGAGCTCCAGGAAGTTGTTGATGATGACGTAACAGATGATGAGGACCCAACTATTCAAATGAAAAAGAGATCTTTAACTGAAATTTGTCCGTTACCCACTCCAAAGACTAGGACCATGAATAAGAGAAAACAGCAATCTCAAATCCTGACGTCTACTCCATTTAAACTGATATTGGAAGAAAAAGAGAAGAAGAAACAAGTAAAGGCTGGCAAAAGTGCAAAAATTAAGAGACAATTACATCCCAAAAAGGACGATAGGGAAACAGAAACGTGTTCAGTCTGTAACGATTTTGGGGTTAACAACGAAATTTGGTGGCGCTGCAGGTCCTGTGGTATTTGGACTCACGCTGACTGTACAAACGTACAAGAAGCAAAAAACTATGTGTGTACTAAGTGCGGATAAATGACTTTATACTGTGGTCGATATTATCCTTATAGTAGGGGAGCTAGCACGAAATTCACTGAACGAGAATGATCAAAATTTTAACCGATGGAGTTCCATTTTGCCCTATCAGAGTATGCTAAAATCGATCGTCTGCCGCCTCAGGTCATACGACTTAAGGCGCTGCAGGTACTTCTTGCGGTAGCAATTCTGAAAGGTTGTTTTTCGAGGAAATAAGTTATACACCAAATGAAAACGTTGATAATAGCTCTTAAAAAAATATTTAAAAAAATCGCGCACATTTGATAACTCCGTAAAAGAACAATTCTTAGTCGGTTTTTCACGAACTTTCTACAGATATAACTAGGTTACGGGTTGGACGAATGAAGCTGATTTTTTTTACAGACTAATGATAGGCACAGCCAATGACTATGAGAATGTTTCTTTTTTAAATTTTGTCTCTAATTATAAGATATCTTATACTGTTAAGATAATAAGATAATCTTATAATTAGAGAAAAAATTTAAAAACGAAACACCGTTAAGTCATTATTAGTACCTATCATCAGTCTGTAGAAAAAATCAGCTTCATTCGTCCAACCGTAACCTAGTTATATCTGTAGAAAGTTCGTGAAAAACCGACTAAGAATTGTTCTTTTACGGAGTTATCAAATGTGCGCGATTTTTTAAAATATTTTTTTAAGAGCTATTATCAACGTTTTCATTTGGTGTATAACTTATTTTCTCGAAAAACAACCTTTCAGAATTGCTACCGCAAGAAGTACCCGCAGCGCCTAAGTCATATGACGTGAGGCGGCAGACGATCGATTTTAGCATACTCTGATAGGGCAAAATGGAACCCCATCGGTTAAAATTTTGATCATTCTCGTTCAGTGGATTTCGTGCTAGCTCCCCTACTATTATGGCTGATCGATTTTACACTACACCAGGCGGATAATATCGGACAGGTAATAGTTTTTTTAGAATTTTTTTTCTAATATTTTAGAATACTTTTTTAGTTTCTTTTCATATGCATTTGCTAGCCGAACATTTATACAACCTTACAGAATTAAATTTGTTTTCATTGATCAATTGATTTTGTTTTTAATGAGCAATTTACCTTAAGTGGTCGATATTCGACCACCTTCCCCGGTACCATTGAAACAACCATTTACGCCCTCAACAATTCTAAACTCTGTAAAGAAAACAAAAAATGTAATTTTTCACGCCTCCAATGGCTGTAACACCGCATCTATAAATTCTTTCGATAAGCCAAACTCAAATTTATAAACGTGTTTAAAAAAAATACATGACTTCGAAGCGATTTTTTTGCAAATTTTCGAGTTCTACAACTTTCACGAGTAAGATTTTTTTACAAACGCAAGAAAATTTAATATTAATTCATTTATTTGCTACGTCGATAAAAATTACTTATCTTTGAAAATACATTGTGACTAATAGCTTTACCGAATTTAACTTTCGATCAGATCATCCGACACGAAATGCTATACTCTTTAATTTGAATGAGAATTAAATATTCTATGCGAGATGCCCTATTTTCGAATCATAAACGCAATCTAAAAATGTCACGATTTTCTAACTGTAAGTAATTTAATTTATCCTCACGTCTTACAATTGGTAATTACACAAAAAAACAATAAAATTATCATACAGTGCCATAAACGTTACGTTATACATTCATAGTGAAACTACACAAAGCAATTTGTCAATTTACATTTTAAAAGGACGTTAACATAAAAAATATAGTTCTATTATGGCTCAATGGTAGAGCGTTGAGTTATAAATCCGGAGGTCGGGTGTTCGAACCTGGTTGAGGTGAATTTTTCATCTGTGGCAGAGATGGGAATTACCTTAGACCAGTTTCGAGCATTCTGCCGGCTACTCCGAATTAGGTTTTCCTGCAGTTTTCCTAATTCGTAAGGTAAATACCGGAGTAGTATAGAACAACTTAAGACCTCCTGCAGAGGCACCTCTAAAAAGCATTATGCGGGTCGCTCTGTAATTGGGCGCAAGCCTGTTGAGGGCCCAGAACAAGAGAGGGTAAATAAATAAATAAATAAATATCCCCAACAATAAGCCTACAATCGAGTTTAACTACGTCTATGCAAATTATTATTAGCTATGGTACTCGCCCAAATTACTACATGTAATATAACATACGGACGAGTGTGAATATCTCCTTGCGATTGATTATCTAAGAAATAAGCAAAACTATCATAATTATACATGTTCTCTTAAATAATAAGCGATTCAATCGAAAACTACACTTCCGTAATGATTTCGAAATGTAATTAAATAAAAGATTTTCATACCATTATCAAAGCAATCCAAACATGCAATTGTTTAAGACAGCCATTTCACTAAAAAAATGACACCAACATTTAAACTACACCTTTCAAAAATGGAAAACGCCATGAAAAATTTAACAGTAATTACAGTAATTTATTCTAATGCTTAAATTAATCTTACACAACTACTAATTACATTGCAAAACAATAAAATTAACGTACAATGCCATAAATACTTTTACCTACATTAACAAAGCTGTCATACATCTTCATCAAATTGAAGTTACACAAAACAATTCCCCATAATCGTGACGTAGATACCTTAATGATTTTAAACAACATAAAATACACAGTCACATGACATGCACACCTCCATCAAAATCTACATTTATTATACAAATTATAATTAACGTTAACTAAAATTATGAGAAACGCTATCTGTACCATTGCCTCAAAAAGTGGCTACACTTCCTGGAACAATAAAACTTTCAAATTGGCTAATTTCCTTTTTAAACCAAAAAAAACAAACATTCTTATTTGCAATTGTATAAAGGATATAAAAAATATTTAAAATTTTCCATTTTACATAGCTTTTCCAGAAACTTTTTATGCGAACCGATTCACGTTCACACAACTTTACTTTAGTACAAGACTTACGCAACTAATACTACAACATTAAAAGCATACCGCTTAATACCAATCCACTTACTGTACTTTTCTTTCCTTTCCTTAAAATTTTTGATTTTTCAGATTAACGACGATTATCAACATTTTTTTAATGTTTATGTTGGCGAAGGACGAGACCTACCCTTCTCCAACATCGACGAATTGGAGATGAACACGTTCAATCTTCCTCCGACTGAATATACACACATGTATGCAGTCGGAGGAGATTTCGAAAGGGCGCATCGAAACGTAAAACGTTTAATGTAAGTATAGTCATCTTCAACCTAAAAACCATTCATTTAAAATTAACAAATGCATTAATATTTACCTGAAACTTACAATCTATAACTGCAATACCTAACCATACATCTTGAACAAATCCTTGGAACCGTCACTTTCAGGTAAAAAAATATTTGTAAAGTTACTATAAAATCAATCATCGAAAAACGAATATAATAACGGCTCATGCTCATCCAAATACAAAACACACATAACCAAACTTATTACATACAATCGATATACGTACAATACCGATCTATTTTAAAACTCGTAGATTTTAAATAGGGTCAGTGGCGTACAACTGAACACATTTTCCAATTCCCACTTCAGAAGCGTTACCGCAATTTTTACAGTACGTACGAATTAATTTACGACAGTGGCGTAGGTAGTACACCACTGTAAGCATAACAAACACGTTGCCATATACCCCGTTAAATAAATTTAGATTTCATATAAAATAATCCCTGTCTTTACATTCTATCTCATCTTCATACTAAGTTTTTTTTTTCAAATTAATAAAACTTCCAAAATGAATTGTTTGAAAATTAACATACCTTTAAAACAATGTTTACAATTTTCATTTAAAATTTTTTTATAAAGAATCACATCCAATAGAGAAATAAAATTTTTGGCATAGAATTGTGAGTATGTTTTCATTAAATGTCTGCTTTAAAGGTAAATTCATTGTTATAAACAACAATTATATAAAATTTGTAAATTACACTTTATTCAAAATCAAACATACTGTCTACTTTTTAACTTTCAAACATGTATTTCAATCAAAATTACAAAATAGACACAAACAGTTTATACAGAGTGCACTCTATTAGATTCCAAATAGTATATTAAGTATGGAGAACGGTAAGGGATTTTTACCGTTCGAAGACAATTGTTTGGAGGAGGAGCGGAGCGACGACTCCAATTATTGTCTGAGAACGGTAACCCTTAACGTTCGACGTGCTTATAACATTTTTTGCGCGATCGAAATTAAAATTATGCAACCAATATAAATATGCACTAAGAAATGAACGAGCAGAATAAATCGAAATGATCGAAGTGGTATGG